GGGGGGGGGGGGAGAACTATATTTTTGTAAGGCGAATGGAACTTCAAACAGAAATATAGAAATGTATACATAACATTATGAGTTGTGGCTGATTTGGAAACGATGAACGCTTTTTATAAGTATCAGTGAAAAAATAAAATTGATACTATGTGATTGTCGACTTGTAATCATTTTGCGCTTCGTTATTGTGACGATAACGATGGATTTCACGTTATTAGTATCTTAGAATTTCATCAATTACTTTCATTAATTGTTGTTTATTTACTGCCAATATGAATTCTTGTCCATACTGTAGAAGCACAAAGAATTTCGTTTTGGTGTCTTATGGAAATCATAAGTAAGCCCAGGAGGAACCATTGGTGTGAGACATGTTTAGTAATTAATTAAACAACAGTCAAAAGATGTTTATTACGGTCCATTGATAATATGGCCGCAACCAGGAGTGAAATAACATTATAATCTAATATATTTACATAAAGTATCTGTAATATCTGTGATAAAATCTAGTCTTCATGGTATCATTCAGAAGGAGTTAATCGATTTGAGTTTCACTATACATACTTCATGCTATCCTCTACAAATGATCTACAACGTACTTCAAACCCGACGAAAATGTTCACAGCGATGTTTGTGGTCAAATTCGAAACCATCTCTGACTACAATTTCACCGTCCACGTTTCTAATACTCCTCACATAAGCGTTCGGCCTCCTTTACTCTAGTCTTCATGGTGGCCTCTTCAAAAAATGACATGTAACTGTGACCGATTCCCATAAGCTTCACCTCCTTCTATGATTCACTAAGAAGTTTTAGAAATACTTAAAAGTTTTCTATTTTGGATGTGCAACATTGTTTCTACTGTTGTTATGATTCAACAAATCACAAAAAGTAATTTGTTCCACTTTTTTGCTATAAAAACATTTCAATTAATTGATTTTTAAATTATTTTTCAGCATAGTATTGCAGTGAGTTCTGATTTATTTGAGTCTGTAATGTTTGTAATTGAATATCTATCTTATGCTGAATATTTCTACACACGATTTTAGTAATTTTATATTTTCGTAGTGAGTGTTCTCATGTACATGTATAATACAATATAATGAAGTCCTCTAATTACTTGAATTAAAACACTATTCATATAGAATATTAGTCTCGTGATATCTCAAATTGATTTCTGTTATTATAATCTTTATAATAACCATGAGTTAAAAAAATATACTATTCAATGTTGCAAAATCTGTTGAACCCACAGTTCACAACAGTTTATCTGTATGAATTGGTATTAAGAATATTTAATAATTTCATAATAAAACAGACTACAGGTAAAGGCTTTGAAGTTATACATTTTATAATTAATATAATGGCAAATTTCAAGAATTAAATTTCACAAAATGCAAACCCCAGATCTTTTGTTTATTCCTCAAGAGTTTGAGACTTGTATATAATATATATAATTGTTGCAGTTGACATTATATTTTATAATATTAAGATTAAATAAAACTAATAAAAAAAACCACTAGTAAATATAAAGTTTTAAGATTTTCTCACAAAGTTAAAGCACCGTTTACGATGGTTATTCGAATATACATATTATGTGAATTAAAATCATGTATTTAATTGTGAACTAATCCTCGAAATAATAATATTGGCGTATGACAATTCATAATCTGTCTTGAATTAAGGTTCAATTCTACCACTTCAGTTAAAGCCTAAGCGTAATTAAACTCATTCTTGATTGGCTTATGCCATTCAACCTAACCTATCACTAGTGTTAACGCGTTGCGCTTAACTAAATTTTCGGTTAAACTCAACGACATAATTGGGCCAACGACTGTACTGACAATAACAGTTTTAGATGAATTTAGTTACGATATGGTAGCACATATAGCACCCATACAAATAAAGCAAAGATTACTGTGCGTAACTAAACGGTGAACGAAGTTTCTTACACTCATTACCAACGAAGATAAGATTTATCGAGCTACCTACTTCCCGATGACCTCCATCAATCATTTTTTTCTAACTTTTAAGAACAAAAAATGGTCAGAAAAGGGGACCTATGATATCATATTCCTTCTGTTGCCTTGAATATCGAAGAATTTAACCTTTCGATAAGACAAAGCGATAGAATAACTTCTAATCTTTTACTTTAAACTCTATACAATATCATGTTGTTTCTCTGAAAACTTAAGATAAAGCTACTTAATATATGAATACTGTTGGAATATGGCTAAAAACAATTAACGATTTGTCAGCTCTATTCAGAGTCAAGCAACGGCAACTCTCTCGTTTTGTTTTGTCAAACTATTATTCACTTGTCAATATACATATATCTTTTACTAAATCATCGCTTGTATCTTTTGCTGTTTATTAAAGCAATAAAAGTAAACCTGCGTTGTCTTTTACGGGACTCATTTTCTACAAATAAAAATCGGGTACGTGTCTAGAATAAAGGCACATCAACTGAAAAATACTTGCTAAATAACTATCTCTATCTTTCAATAACCGGTGAATATAGGGTTTTTATAAATATAGATAAATGACCATATTTTATGTATTATGAAAAAGCCATGGTGATAATTGTAGAACTTATACAACTCTGCATACACTTTACTTTCATGAAGAGAATCTATCAAATCCGTTTTATTTACAATTGTAATGATTTAAGCAACAAGATGACGGATGAAATACCCCAATTCCTTTAACACCTACCTGAGAAAAAATAATTATATATAATCAGATATAAAATTTTGTAAGAATCTAATATGAAAATGTAAATTCTATATAAATATTATAATATTCCCAATCAATAATTTAATGTATTAATGAGTTCAAAGCAATTATTTTAGGTAATACTATTTGTATAGAATTTAATATTTTCATAGTATATCTTTGTAAAATTTTAAATCTCATCAGATACACCAATTCTCGATCTGATTAGATACAATTGTATATAATTATATTTCATTATTGTTTCGCGGGTAGCTATCGATATACAGAAGTTATTAATTACAAATAGCATATAAGAGCATTGCAACATAAAAAAAAGATGTCAGGTGACCTTCTATCATAATTGTAAAATGAAATTTAGTGCTAAAAATATGATTTATATCTTGAGCAAAGTTTCATATATTCTGAGAAATCTATTGCATTCCTATTAAGCAACCTCTTTCAATTAATATGTGAAATTATACCGTCAGGCGTATGTTAGGAATAGCACAAATCGGCCAGTTAAATATGAACATACTGGTCAAATAACGTTTTATAATATACATAGTTGAAACCAGTTCAGAAGTGTACATTTTAATGTAGTTCCGAACATAGTGTGCAATAGTAAATGAATCATTTCCTAAGTGGAGTAAAGTTTGCATTAAATCAATTTTTTGCTTACACTGCTTTTTTATTAGTTATCTTTCGAAGTGTAAGATCTTAAATAAATTCAAGATACGTTAAATTTCTAATATTGGGTTGGTATGAAAGTAATGAGACACTAGAAAACTCTACACATGTCCTTTTTTCAATTAATTGCTTTTTGACCATATTCTATTGTATATACCCACCGAGCGAAAGTATGTAGAATATTCTACAACATATTAGAATATGGTCAAAAACAATTAATTTAAAAAAGGACATGTGTTTGAGTTTTCTAGAGTGTCTCATTAGTTTTATGCTAACCCAATATTTCTTAAAGGTAATTGAATAGTTTTATTAAAAAAAATTAATTTATCATTACACATGAAAAAGCAATGTACCAGAAATTGTATTAATTGTATTAAACTTGTAAATTGTATTTCCAAATTCAAATAAGAGTTTTACTGCATAAACTTTATACTAATATACATTTTTTCAGTAGAAATATTTTATTCGATTTAAGAGTATGCGTAGTTTATACCTTTATTATACTGAGAAACCAAGAACGCAAAATTTAATAATCAATATAAAAAATTTGTAGTAAATATATAAATAACTATTCTATTTAATGAAAAAATTTCAGATAGAAGATACAGTAGTTTTTTTTCATAAAGTTAATTTACGAAATAGTATAGTCATTTTTTAATATTCCAGTATTAGTAGTCGCTATTGAATTGCCATGTAACAATATTCTAATGCTACAGGATACAGAATCTATCCTCATAATGAATGATGCTCGTCTAAACATTGAGATGTGTTATACTGATTATGTAGGAAAATAGATTTGGACTGCATTTTGTACATCTTGATATAATAAATGTTTTCTGACCATTTTTTAATGAAAAAAATAATTCACGGTATAGAAATCGCATCACATGCCCATTTTTGTTAGCTGCTCTGGCCACGACTGATCAATTGAACGAATCTCATCTCATACTGTTCATACTTAATACATTGCATGATGTCGAAAGTCTATCACGCAAATCCGTGTACAAGTATCTAGTAGTATTAAAATGACTAATGAGTGGAAAATACAACACTCTTAAAATTAATAAGTTTATAATCTCCCTGTTTAAGACTTAAAGATATCCACCAGTATGGATTTATTATGAGCCTTATAGCTCTGTGATATCCGGCGCTACAAATGTAATTTTTGTTTGAGCCTAATTATAAAATGCTTATAAAGCTTTAATTATGCAATTACTAAGCCGTTGAGATGTTCGATAATATGTAATATATCTAATGTACAAATTTGTTCTTTATTAATCATTGAAATAAAATATCAAACATAATTACAAATGCTTGAAATACTTACTTTGCAATAGTTTAACTATTTTGAAAAAAGATTGTTTATTTAAGATTCAGATATTAGCTGAATATTAATAAATTCTGACATTTTTCGTAGGGAAGGGAATAAAAGAAACTGGATCCTACACATTAGATATTCTTCACAAAATATTCTATACAAGCTTTTCTACACAACCTGTATCCTACACAAAAATATTAAACACGCAGAAACATTTTACACATGAATATTCTACATGACTCACAATCAGTATGCCGAACTTACTCAAGATAAGTATTGTAACTCTTACTTAGTAAAGTCCGTCTCGTAGAATGTTTTCAACATATTGAACGTCGACTGTGCACCGAAAACTGTACACCAATAAACATAATATTCAAGTAATTGTGCACGATATTATCCATACAAAGAACTGTGCTTCATGGCTTAATAACTGTGTATGGCCAATTAACAACTGTGCCTGCAACAGTAGAAACCGTCGGGATGCTAATGCTAAAACGTAAAAAATGTATAATTTCCAAGTGTTGTTCCTTACATGCTATTTATAATTATGTAATTGCACAACTTTTATTATAAAAGTATACAATTTTAATGCTTAAATTTTATTTTAAACTGATGTGGAGTTTTCCTAAAGTGGCTATTCCTTAAATATCTGAAATAACAGTTATTTGTCTAAATTATTACTGAGCTTTTGAGAGATTATTACTGTTTTAGTTATAAAAGTATCGTCGGCGAGAAAGCGATGTGAATGAGTCCGACACAATAATATATTGCCATGATAGGTTTGTAAATAACTAAGTTACGTCAGAATTTAAATCTTGTAATGGGTTAAAATTGATTGGAATGTCCGTATAAATGTTTAAAAAAAATGTGTGTACAAATTCTCGTGTATGTATTTTATTTCACAGTCATTAGTCGGCCGCACATAGTTCTTTGCATGAAATATCTAGTGCAGTTATCCGAATATTACATTTATTGATGTACAGTTTTCTATGCACAGTTAACACCCACTCCTTTCAGTGTAGGAAACTTTTATGTAGAATATTATTGTATAGAATATTTTTATCCAGGATATTAATTGTGCAGAAAAGTTTGTGTAGAATATCTCATGTTTAGGATCGAAGGCCATTTGTATTTTAAGGAATGTTACAGTCTAATCAATTTTAAGAGGAGGTATGATCTCCATTTCAGTACGTTATAAGGCTTTATAACCTTTAGTAAGGCGGCAGCCCTTATCATGCGCTGGTCAGGGCAATTTAAAAGTGCCTTTAGCTAGCTAGATCTAGGGAAAATATTTTATGCTTCCCGCAATTCCCCTATAATTTTTCTGCACCGGAAGATATTAATATGACTTAGATATTGAATAAATGCACTTTTTGCTTGCGAATGGATAGTTTCAACCTGTCACTTAGCGAACAGACTTTTACTTGCTCATTCATTATTATTGAAGCATTGTCGACTAGCCAGACTATACTGTTTTAATCGGGAGCAGTGAAGCTAAGGAAAATACGATTTTGCGTAAAAATGTATACAATAATGTACAAGAAAAAATAATTATACTCTTCAAAACAAGTTTTTACATTTTTTTTTCATTGACAACGCCTTGAAACTGATTTGAAGAATATTATTTTATGCTAACAAACTTTCACGATTCATTCGAATTGAAAATTCAACAATATTACACGTTGCAGTATTTCCGACATACGTATAACATCAATTATTATTTAAATCAAAGATTTTACGAAATTAATCAATTTAATGAGTATAAATCTTCAATAATAAAATTAGAAATATAATATCGAATAAAATTTTAGTCGTAAATGTACAGAATTGTTACCTGAACGAAACTCCGCCGATGAGATGGCTTTTCTTCGTGCTATCCTTGTGCGTGCCATATTTTGCGCACTGCAGTTATTCTACATCAACCATAGAGAAACTGTGCTTGTTTGCTAATACACGTTTTCCAAGTTTAACACTGAGGCAATTTGACACTTAAGAAGATACACCAGGTGCTAGTTGTCACGTTTGTGCTAAATCTTTGCCGTTGTGCAAAGTAGCGTCATTTTTAATTCACTGTATATAGACGATTAATCTGATTTGAAATCATTGCAAAACAGATACTCAATTAACGCACTCATAAACAATAATTGATGCCGCTTTTCATCCATTATGCTCTGCAGAACTTCCTATTTATCACTTCATATCCCGTTGATTCGACGACGTTCGCGTTAAATTGTATCTAGAATGGATTCATAAAAACAATATACTTATTATTCTATTTAATGTTTACACTATTGTGTAGCTTAAATGGTGTTAAACTATAGTTTTGTGTTGTACAAACTTGAACTTTTATTAGATTTTAATGCAACATATTTTTGTAAGGATAATCAGTAAATATAGTTTGGCCCAGTCTTTTGCCTTGTGCCTTATGCCTTAGCGGAAGATTCAGTCGAATCTGTTCAGAAATGAGAATCTCTAAAATTGCACAACCGGTACTAACTTACATTGAAACTCATCATTAGACTAGACTAGAATTATTTGAAACAACATTCCATTAATGTGATCTACATATACTTCTATGTGTATTCGTGGTCAAATTCTTGTAAAAATATTTTTTAATGTAATGAACTTTTTTCGTGAATTAAAATATTGGGAAAAAATGAAAATAAAGAAAGAGCCGTATGTCGACTTACCTTATGGAAATGTACAATACTGCACATATAATTCCATTCTACGCATATTAGAAGATTGCTAGTTATCGCTTTTATGCGTATCGCCGTATTGAAATAAAACACATTCTGCACTTCGAACTGAGATGTTGCACTTTCGTATTGCAGAATGAAAATAGTTCATATACACTGAAAAATCTCGATTTCTCCAGGTATTCCACCATAATAAACATCAAATATAAATTCACGTTCCTAATATATTAATCCAATTTCTGAACATTTGTATGACTCACTGTAGCTTGTCTTGTCCTGGTTCGTATTATTTGCGTGACCATTACTAATGGACACCCAGTAACAAAAAATCTTGGCGCAATATGGAAACGACTGACGTAGTCGATAGGAACCAATACGGGTATCAAAAACTAATTACTTCAATTTTTTAATTTTTGAAAATTCGTTGTCAAAGTGGTACGGGAGAAGGGGTGTATAAAACACAACAGAAGTACAAACGATTATCGGTAACATGGATGCGTAGAATAAGACCAAGAAATGGAAGAATAAAAAAGCATATGAAGACGGGTGTAAGTGCTCTCGCGAGGGGAAGAAAGAAAGAAAGGAACGAACGCACGCTCGCTTCACTCTAACGACTGACCGACTAGCACAAGATCTTCCTCAGACTGTAAGACTATTCCCGCCTATTCCCACTTAATCCCGCCTATTCCCTCTGTCGTGCCATCTACCCCCTTCCGTGCATTACCTTGTTTTGATAATTTTTCAAATGTTTCGTTGCTGCAAATATTCTATACTATTCTTTATAATATTGGATGTCGCTTTCGTAGAATTTGAAATTACAGTTAACATTACAGTTTAATTTTTTTTATTACTACAATATTATAATATTTCAATTTAGGAATAGTTCAAAGATGTCTACAAATAAAATTGAATATCGAAAATACCTACTTTCATATCTTTTTTAGTAATATCCTTTATTTCATTCAAAAGAAACTTGATAATCAAAATCTTTCTTGTTCACAAGTTTTCACTGAGTATTCTATGATGAGTCACGGTTGTTGTCCTTTGACCCACAGGTTAAGGTTGGTCGTAATCTAGTCTCGCTAAATCACTGCGAATACTCGCTTACAACGCTTCCCTTGTTTTCAACCCTGTATTTATGAAAATGCAATTGAATCATAAAACAAACAAGAAATTTGAAAGCTGGTCTATAGATATAATTGATGTAAAGTGTGGATGAAAGTATGCAGCATGTTTAATTTTCAGCCAAAATATCATAGCTGGTGAAAGACACACTAAATATTGTAAACCAGTTACCTGTAAGTAAAAATTTAGTTATAATTATTACACTACCTCCCAGCTTGTACAGTTTTAGTATATTATTTTATAAAACTTACTAACCGCACTATGTACTAATTTCCATGGACTCAAAATTAGCCATATTAATATATTTTAACGGTTGCTCAATAAAAGTAACATTTTTTGAGAATATATGATTTTAATCCTAGAAACATCATTAATATTATACATTATTTATCGCTAGGTTTCGTACAAGTTTCAATATTCGACTAAAGTTGTAATTTAAAAGCATTACATTAAGTTAAAACTACAAAACATGTTTATTGAAATTCTGAATAAAAATTAAACATTCACATCCATATCAGTTCAAAAAGACAAATTTTGGATGAATTTGTTGGTAATTAAAATTTAATAAACTTATTTTTTTACCACCGTATTAACATATTTCATTTTTTTAAAGCGAATAATGATACATCTAACTAAGCTGGTGTAGTCATGTTAAAAAAGCAATTTTGTAATAAACATAAACATAAGATTCATGAGTAATTAGTTCGATTTAAAAAAATTTGCCATTATAATTATGGAACTCTTATTCTCAGAAAATCATAATATTACTAAAAGGATATATATACTTATGAAAATATTTATTGTTATTTTTTAATTATACCTGGTTGTTTTTGTTTTCAATTATTTTTATTTTTTAAAGTAAATATTTCTATATAATAAAATTTAAGCCATACAACAAGAAGGCCGAAGTAAAATGAACTAAATCTTTAGGTTAATTTTTGTATTTGATCTGCTGCTAGTATTTAAACAACTTTTTCGCAACTTGTTTATTAGATTGTTTTCTATTACATTAAGCATTAGTAGCATAAGTTTTAAAGAATTAAAAGTTTCTCATTTATAACCACAAATAACTTTTCTTATTATTAAAACAATAGTCAATGTCAGAACAAACTTAACCGCAGTGACCACTGCAGCCAACAAATTATGCGGAAAAACAACAATAATTTCCAAATTTTCGATTTCAGAACTTTATAAAAATGGATTAATATATATTTCAAGTATTACGGATTAAATTTATATTTCAGTAATTAATAACTAACGATCATTAGATTTTGTTTGGTAACATAACATGTAATAATGTAATACTTAAAAATAAATTTCATTGTGGTGTGTAACTCATTGACATCTTTGCCTAATAATATTTTTGACGTGAAAAAGAAGGAAAATTCCGAATGAGAATACATATGTATATATAAACTTGTCAAAGATTAGTTATGAGGACGTGTGGCACTCAATACGACAAACCGATATAATTTTTTCTAAAAAAAAAAAACCTAAACCTTGAGACATGTGGCATTGGAGTTCTAACCTAATCTAACCTAACGAAACTATTTCGTAGCCCATTGCAACTTTCAGCATCTACCATGAAAAATTTTTTGGGAAAATTCGGTGTGAGTGCCGCTTTATGGTCCTAACAGTATATCTTACGTATCAAGATGCTATCAGGCCCGTCCTAACAAACACCGAGTGTGCTCGTAACTGCCAATACTTAAAACAAAAAGTCCTGAAAAGTAGAGATAAGTTAGTAAACAGTTAAGAACTCCGGCACGTAGGTACTATGTAGTCAACAATTACTTTTATATCAAGTAATATCAATTAATTGCAATTTACGTTTCTGCAAATATAAATGATCGGAAGAGAATCTGTTAAGGAAGTGAGTAAGGTAAGGAATTGCTTATAATATTGAAAAGGAAGTACTGAAAGGGCAAAAATATTAAATTGTAAGCTCTAAAGATGAAATAAGTCGAAGTACTCTATTTTTGAACATGAGCAATACGAGCATTAGCATAATGGCGATAGAATGAAATGCGTGGGTATAAAAGTGCTACGCTCTTTTGTTATTCCGTTTCAATTTAAAGATGAGCAAAGCTTCCTCTCGAAGAATCAGATGCTATTCTTGTGGCCAGGTGTGAAGCTGTAGCACAGCATAAACACAAGGGACCATACACAGAACAGGCCGCATTAATGTGGCTTTCCTGGTCAAAGATTTCTATTTTACTTCTTACAGCATTTCAAAAACGTAAGATTTATTAATTTAATATCTCGCATAAAATATATTTCCTTACTCATTACTGATATTTTTTTGTGTGAACAGTTGGTTTTTTAATGTTATAATACTATACGTCAAAGTCGTGTTTTATTTTAACGATAAAAATGTTTCGTTCCATCGAAACTAATATGTGTGTCGTTTGCGAAAATGACCTTGTTTATGGTTGCTTGGAAAATAAGACGTTATAGGCACTATCAAATACGACTTTGTCAATTTTTGTCAACACACATTTCATTTTTGCAAAAAATGTATACGCGCGTACTCCGCGCGGGAATTTTAGAAAAGTTGTTTTACAATATTTTAAAAGGTGATTCCGGTTGAGAAGTTTAAAATTTAAACAGTTTTGAAGATTTTTTGGACACACAATAAATAAAAATTTAAAAAATTTTTAAGTTCTTTATTAAGTGTTAAAGACATATTTTAAAAATTTTCTTTCCCCGTATTTTCTTGAATAAAATTAAATTTATTTTGTGCTCCTTGAAATACCGATGCGTTCGCGGCACAAATGATTCCATCTCGTAATACCTATCTTAAACCAAAAAGTTAATAACTACACTGAGAAAAAAATGATCAAATTTACTATTTCTTAACTATTTTTCAGGGTTTCGAAAGGGCTCAACTATAGTTTATAGTAAACTTAGATTAATTACGGTGATCACATTTATTAGTAATAGGTGCTGTACCTTAGTAGCTTTTATCGCTTCTTTGTCTCTTTTTTAGAATTCTATAACAAATAAAGTTTTGGAGTTATTGGCTCGTTAACCCGCCTCTGCTTACGGGTATGCTGGTCCTTCTGGTGGCCGGTTGCTATATTAGGATGAATAGTTTTTTATCATAAATATGCCACAATATTTACCCTTGACATCCATGGGTAACTATAATTACTATCCATAGTAGATTTTAATTTTTTTTGTAAGTGAATTTGACTTTTTGAAATTAGTGAAGTAATTTACTATGAAGTTTTTATTGTTACTACAATTATATCCACCAATTGCAATAGTAAACTCAAGTATGCTTAGATAGTTTGCGCTAATGAATTCATTGTAAAAAAATACTACAAGTTTCGTTTCACTAACTAATAATATTCTTACCATGCTACATAGTTCAGAATATCATCGTCTTTTTTCTCAATGTAGGTGTGTCGCTATCATATGAACCAGATTTAACCATATAAATAAAAAATTAATCAAATAACACGCATGTAAACTTCAAGTATTGAAAATGATCATCCTCTTTGATGAATTTTGGATATTAAAAATATGCTTTTTTCAACACTTCAATGTAAATCTAGTACCGGCGAGAGTAAATAGTATTTAGAACAAGGTGTTAAAATTTGAGATCGATCAGCTGGTTAGTTTTTTATTTTTTTCTACGCTAATTGGAAAAATGTCGTTCCGAGAAAAACATGTTTAAAGTATTTCATGTAGTTTTGTTCCAATTAATATTATATAATGTTTCGGTTGCTTACTGTTAATCGAACTTTACGGAGCTATAGAGTGAACCTTAGTTAGGACTATCTCATTCTTAGATGAAACATATCCATTTTAACTTATGGTTGCACCAAGCGCTGTAAAATTCAAAACTCTATAACTTCATCAATTTTGTCAATCTCCCTATAATATTTCACACGCACATTTTTGATGCCGTATAGTTGAAGAAACTGCGAAAAAAATCAATTTTTCAAACTTCTTTCTTTATATAAACAGCTCTGAAATGATTGCTCGGATTGGTATTTTTAGATATTTATTAAACACGTTCCGATATTTAAATTTAGATTTAGATATATTTAGAAGCGGTATTTTGCTACAAATGTCATCTTAGTAATCAGATTATTCTTTTATATATTATTACTTTTATTCCATTAAAAAAGGCATCAGACTCAGTTTTAGAAATATCCTAAGTAATGATCATTATTTCAGGGAAAAATGATTATATGTATATCATCATATATGATTATATATAGGCACATATGACATTGTATGCCCTCAAAGCGCTGATGTAGGAACTCACGTATACTACTTTATAATGCGAAAATATACTATAGCTCGTATTCAAAACTCGCTTTTAGTGCTAATAGCGCGCTTTTAAATTATTTGTTAGTGATTTTAAAGGTGACCGTATTTAGAACCGCTTTTAAGCATTTAAAAGTGCGCTATTAGGCGCCATTTTGAGACTAACAGCGACCTGTTCGAAGATGTGGGTAGGGGCATGTTTATGTGGCACGTCGCTCAAATATGGT